CTATCTATCTATCTATCTATCTATCTATCTATCTATCTATCTATCTATCCATCCATCCATCCATCCATCCATCCATCCATCTATCTATCTAGCTATCTCTCCCCTCCCTCATCCCTTCTGCTCTATCTAAGAATCAATGGAAAAAATACCTTCTGCTGAGGCTTAACAACAAAAATTAAGTGAAGCAGCCTGTCTAGCAGAAAGCCAGATAGCGGATTCTTGGAGAAGGTGGTTGGGCTGGGGGTGAGTGGGAATGGAGGGGGCAGCGATGGAATCTCTGATTCAAAGCTGAGAGACACAGGGCTCTGCTTTTGGGGACCTAGGATGCCTGCGCCCAGCACCCTGCGAACACAGTTTAAAAGCAGACTTACCACGCCTCTGAAGGTCGGAGGGATTAAGCCAAAGAAGAAAGGGATGAAGGAGGAACAGATCAAGGCCTGTGAAGACAAAAGGGAGTGAAACCACAGGCAAAGCAGTCGACTCTTACTTCCCTTCAGCCTCCCTGAGCCTTCTCTCTGTGAGTGAGAAGAGCAGCTGGTCTGAAAGTGCTCTTTGCACAGAGTAGGCACTTTAATTAATGGGTTGAATGAACTTTGAACCAACCACACAATAGCATTTCAGCCCCAAGTATAAGCGCCTTATCACCGCAGTCTGCGGACATCAACTTCCTGTCCCTGCTGCCCACGAGAGTCGCAATGGCCATCGCAGACCGGACCTGGAGCTGTGGACGCGATGACTGACCGGGAAGGACTGGATCAGACTCAAGCTGCTTGACCCGCTGGCCCTGGACCCCGGCCCGGGACTCCGAGGCAGCAGCTTGGAGGAGGGGCCTCAGACTGCAAGTCTCACAGGCTCCCAGGTGATGCCCACACAGGTCCAGGGACCACAGTGGAGTAGCACCGCCTAGAGAGCATTAAGCAGCACCCAACACTGACTCACAGAGAAAGGACTCCTGTGGGAGGGACAGGAGCTGGCTGAAGAGAAGAAACTTCCAGAAACAAGGCTCAATGACAGATGGTTGGGGCTGCTGAGATGCTGCTGGCTCTATGGGCCAGGCCGCTCTGCTATGCAGACGTGTGTGAAGGGAAGTGTCTATTGATCCCCCATGAAGGCATCGGGCAAATGCACTGTATTGTGACCTTGCAAACAAGCTCCTCTGGGCTGGGCCCCGAGGACAGAGGCTCCGCCTCTCGCTGCTTCCCTCAAGCTGTTCTCCTGCAGGAACACCCATCCCGTGCAAGAGGGACACCGAGGGACAGGGCCTTGAGGAGGTGGACAAAGCCAAGCCTGCAAGGATGCGGAGCCGTCCTTTACATGGAACCTGTGCTGGACGCCCGGGGTTTCCCAGGCTCTGGCCCAGACCACGGGGGGCACAGCGTGTACATCACAGGGTGCGGGCAGCAGACAGCGTCCCGGCCGGCCAGGTGCTTGTCCCTGTAAGAAAGGGGGCAGGTGGCCTGCGCCAGCCTGTCCGTGTGACTCCCAGAATGAAACAGCCCCTCACTGACAGCACCAGACAGGCCCACCGCTTACGTCCACAACGTCGTCTTTGGACTGAAACTCGGACACCAGGACGTTTTCCCAGTCGGACACTCTGGTGAGCGAGATGCACATTTTGCCTGAGATGAGCTGGTGGACGTTGTCCGGGAGGTGTCTGTGGAAGGATTCTCGCAGGAACCTGACTACGTTGAAGGACGGATGGAAGATGCCCATGGCCCGGCTTCTGGTGGACTCGACAAAGTCTCTGAGGACCTGCAGGGTGATGTCTGTGGGGGAGACAAGCACACAGGGGGATGGATGTGCCGCCTGGGACAGGGGCCGACTGTGGCAAGACCAGAAACCGGGCGGAGGGAGCTGTGTTCTCACGTGGCTGCAGAGCCCTTACAATGGGGATCGTCCAAACTGAGATGTAGTTAGAGGATCTCAAAAATTAATGCAAAACAGAATGTAAAATATCTCAACTCACTCTTATACTTACTAAATGGGAGCAGGATACTGTTTGGTGATATTGGGATGAACAAGACTAACTTCACTGTGTCTTACTTTTTGCTTCCTGTTTCTAGGAAACGTAAAATGACAGACAGCGCGGCTTGCACTGTTCCTGTTGCACAGCGCCCTCCCGGCCTGGCAATGGGAACGAGCCTCCAGAGGCCCAGGTGCGCTCTCCTCGCCCCACTCCCCTCAGAGCCAGAGCCAGGGAGGCCTGACTCCAGGGAGCAGAGAGCACCAGGCCAGCACCAGGGCGGGAAGCCTGCCTCCACCTCCCACCTGCCTCCACCTCTCTCCTCCCTCCACCTCCCACCTGCCTCCTCCTCCCACCTGCCTCCACCTCCCACCTGCCTCCTCCTCCCACCTGCCTCCCCTCCCACCTGCCTCCTCCTCC